GTCTTCCATGTCCAGAAGGCCTAGTCCAGTCCCATGGGGACTCCACAGCCACCAGTCTACAGTCTTTCATATATTTTAAATAACAAGCTCATGTATTTGACAACATGAAAGCCTATTTATAGTTAAGCAGCTTCTTGTAGGCTCCAAATCAACTCACCTTTATTCATTCATTCATTCATTCATTCATTCATTCATTCATATTTTCAATAAACATTTATGAATGCCAATTGGCCAACAGCCCAGAGACTGAAATGCAGAAAAAACTGAGTCCTTCTTCTCAAGTAGTTCAGTCACAGTGGGCAAAAAGATGTACCAAAAGGAAATGAGACTAAAATAACAATAATTTGTGGATAGAAAATGGACATGGCATTCAAGGAACATGAAGATAAGTCAAACAATGCAATCTAGAAGGAGAATCATGAAAACTTTCTCAGAATGGAACTGAGTGGAGACAGGCTGAGGAAGGTTTTCAGTCAGTAGAGCAAATAAAAGCATGGAGCATGGAGGAACAGGAAGGACTCTTGGGGTGGAAGATTGACCATAATCAATTACTTCTTGCCATGCTATTTTACATCAATAGTTACATGATAGGACATGAAAAGGTATTGTCATGACATGGAGGGTCTTCTTCAGTGTATGTCAAGGAGTCTAGACATTATACTATGAATATGCAGTAAAAGAATTGAGTAAACAATAGGCTGGGATTATTCCTAAATTCAGATTGATGACCCTAGTTATTGAGCAAAATACGATTTTGAAGAGCAAAGGATGGTAACTATTCTACCACTATCTTTAAGCTAATTTATCCTTTGGAAGCCATGATCAGTTTCATGCATATGCTCATTTGAATGAAATGGAGGCAAAACACAACCACAAACATTACAGGGACAGAGCAAATTCACGTTGCTCATGTTTTGTGGTCTTTGTTTATGTGAACAGTGTCTGAAGATTTTGAGAATTTAGATTCTTGATATGTATTTCAAGTGTGCAATGGTAATGCTATTGTAACATGATTAAAAAACATTCACCAATAGCATCACTAAAAGCTGACATCAGGGCCAGGGAAGTAAGTGAATGGGTAGAAAAGATACCTCCCACTAAACCTAATGAATTGAGTTCAGTTAATTCCTAGGACAGACGTGGAGGAAGGAGAGAACCAACTCCACGAGTTGTCTTCTGACTTCTACATGTATCATGGTGTGTTTTGTGAGTGCTGGTGTAAAAAATGGTCAAAAATAATATTAGCTGCTCAATGTGAAAAAAGATACTTTCTTTATAGGCATGTTTCTGAAAGCCTGAAAAGGAGAATTTGTGAGAAAGATGTGGAGACCCTATAAGATGAGATAATAAGCAATTAGCAATGACAGATGAGAACATACTAAGCATGTGTGGCATCTGAATATTTGGACAACATGACCCTTGAAACTGAAAAAAAAATTTAACATTTATTTTATTTTTAGTTATGCATATGTGGAGGGGCAGGATACATGCATGTATGTGCAGGTGCACACAGGGGCCCAGAAGAGGTTGTTGAATCCACTGGAGCTGGAGTTCCAGGCAGTAGTGAGCTGCTGGACATGGGTGCTGGGAACCACACTTGGGTCCCCTGGAAGAGCAGTGTGTGCTCCTATCTACTCAGCCATCCCTCCAGCCTTATTCATTTTTACTTGGATACACGTCTGATCCTGAAAGAAAACACAAGCATCCTTAACATGAGAAGATTAAGAAGCCTGTCAACACTTGAACACTAGAAAGCCTGAAGTAGTTGGTCAAAGTTATGTTTTTCTTCTATTTTTCATACATAAAATGATGAATGGAAACACCCCTTAGAATTTAAATCCTACAATGGAACTGAGCTACTGCACCTGGAATGACAAATTGTTGGATATTGATCAGTGTTTCCAGAATCAGACAAGCTGGCAGGAGGGAGGATCAATTTCAAGTTCCAGGGCTGAGACTGACTCACTGCAAATGGTATTAAGCACCTTTGTGATGGATAATAGTCCCTCTATTATTAAAAAGTGATACTCCTGAAAATAGCCCACAAAGATAAAAAATGGTGACTTTTTTTTTGAAGTTTCAGCCCAAGAATAACTGCAGTGTTCCATCACCTGTTGGGCTATTGTGAACAGAACTGTAATCTTCATATATAGTGATTTCCAGAGAGTTTTCCCTTTGCAAGTTATGTGGCTAGAGTTAGAGGTCTGAAGAAATAACTTTTATTTGAACTCATGGCCAAAAAGGAAATGCAGGGAAATTTTCATTTAAAAATAATTCTGAGCACTTTGATTGTTTTGAATTTTGTTTGATGCAAGAATCACTTGAGGGGCTTGTTAAATAAATATTGCCAAGATTTGTTCCAAAACTGCTTGGTCATATATTAGGGGAAGTGTCAAGTTAAGGGTGTGGTTTTTGAGGTTAACAAGAGAACACTTCGAGTTTAATTATGCGTGTAGCTATTAAATTCCAGAATTCAGGCGTCAGGAAGGGTAAAAATAGTCACAGTAATATATAGTGATGATTATCTGAGAACCTAAGACTGGCACTTTGTAAAAATCTAGATCAGAAGTGGGTAAATTAGTTATAAATCTGCACCTTCAGATTGGAACTGAGAAAAAAAAGGAAAGAATAAATAAAAATTGAGATTGTTGACATCAACATGCCAGTTAGAACAGAGAGATGTCAAAGTTTAGTGAATATTTGGTTACCACTACCCTGATTAATACAAGCACCCAGCATCTTTTGCTAATATAAATTTCTGGGACTGTAAATGCTATTGCAGTTGTCTACTATGTCAAATTGTCAAAATGTTCTGTATCAATAACAAGTTATATGGCCTGGGGATTTCTCTGAAGTGTTTGATATTGTTTGCATTTTGAATTCCATAATCAATACATGCTCCATAATCAACACATGCATTTTTTAAAATATTTTCTTTCTTGCATTGAGATGGGTTAAAGATCATCATTGATTTTGTAGTCGTTTCTTGTTAGGATTAATTGTGTTTGACCTTTAGAGCTTCTCATCCATATCATGGGAAACTATAAAGCAAAAATTAAAATTTCAAATGATTATGAAATTGTGAGTTCTGGACCTTTATTTGGTTTTAATAAATATGCACATTTGAACACGAGCCATGTACAAACCTTTGTTCTTTCCCCGTGCATGTTCTTTGACCAAGATTACATTTGTGTGATATCTGTAAGATGGAGCAAACTGATTAAAAAGGAAATGACACATTTTCTAGAACACTCTGTCATGGCCTGTGAGTTGCAGAACATCATGCTTGTTTTCCACAAGGGAAACTTTCATATCCTGTATCAGGACAAAAAATACAACAGTATGGTGTAGGCAGAGAAAAGCCTTTAAAGGTGCCTGAGTGACTTCCCTGAACTTGTAAGAAATAAGTTATAAAATAAGAAGCAAAATGCATGCAATTTTATGCCATGCTTTATTAATGAATGATGCCAACACATGCAGGATTTAATAATAACAATTTTTATTTCTTTACAGCCTACACATAGGGTAAGGAGAGAAACCAGGAGGATATGAAAACATGTAACTCCATCTACACAACAGGATATACCTCTAATTTGTAGAGTGTTCTGTTTCAACCCTTAAATAAGGAACATAATCATCTTGGCTCTGTGCATCCTTCCTGCTTTGGCAAATCCTTCCTGATTTCCATTTGTTACTCACTTGGCTCATGTAAGTGTATGACCCATGATTGCCATGCACACATATCTTTATGGGTGGAACAGAATTTAGAGTGGTTTAAGCCTCCTGAAAATGCCGATGTCAGGACAGCAGCGTTGAAGGAATGACAGCATCCATGTAAAGATGTGGTGGTCAGAGATGGAGAGGAAGACTTTAGGAAGAAATGAGTGAATCCAAGGGATAATTACTGGATGAATGAGAACATCCACAGAATGGCCAGAACTCAGGAATATAAAAGCTTGGGGTCCTCAGTGTCTTTACCCACATGAGGCCCATGACCACAGCTAATACCATAATCAATGTGTCCCCAAAAGGGGCCATGCCTTTGAGTATTAGGAGTCTGTACTGTACCTAGTAATTGTTGTCAAACACACTCCTCTCATATTCTGGTGAAAGGCTTCTTATCTTGGCTTATAACCAACAAATTTGACTCACCAAATTTCACAAGTGTAGGCTTACCTATTTCACAAACAACTTTCAAAAATAAAGTATAATAGTTAAAGAGCCCACAAATTAAGGTGTATATTCCTGCTGTGATTATAAGGGTTTAAAATAAATCTATTATAGGACTAGCTTTACTTTGGGAGGGAGATGTTAATGTCAATTAAGTTACAGATTCATTCATTTATGTGATAAGTATTAAATTATTTATGAAACATATTTATTTGTTACAATGTATTTTGTGTAGCAAAAAACACAAGTATTCTGTAGTATAGGACAAACATTTATCTATATTTAATATAAAACAAAACTTTAGATTTTAAACTGAGAGTTGAAGGCTTGAACCAATGAAAAAGGAATTGGAAGAATAGCTATGATTTTTTTATGTAAAATAAATAAATAACAAGGATGCATATAATTTAGAAAATGAAGAAAATTGCATTAGGTCTTAGCAGAATTCAACTGTTCTATTATTTTTGTTTTGCTGGTGATATATTAATTCTGCTAAAGACACAGTTTTGTTTCTTAATTTTTCTTGCCCATATTGCTTTTGCTATCAGATCATATTTTACTCAACGTCTAATTAGAAGATTCTATTTTATCTCTTCCTTTTTAATTATTTAATATTCTATGTTCACATTATCTTGTTTGTTTAATTTCATTTTCTAAATGACTCTGGTATCTAGAGATAAAGATGATTTTGTATTTAGCCTTCTGCTAAATTCACTTAATAATTATAATAGTTTGTGGATTCTTTTGAATTTTCTATGCATATAAAACTATGTGGGAGATTGTTTCCATTCAAATTTATAGGATTTTAACTTTTTGTTAATCTTACTGCACTAATCAGGACACCAAGTATTTTGCAAATAAAAGTAGTAAGAGCCTGCATACTCTATATGATGTTCATTCTTTGACTGTTTTGTGGAAACCTTTTTGTTTCTTGCATGCAGTGTATTTTGCATGCACTATAGTGGTTACTTCTCTCATTGTTTTGTGACAACTAAAGCAACTTAAGAAAGATGAGGTGGTTTGAATAGGAATGGCCCCTTTACATTCATGTGTTTGAATGCTTGGCTCATAGGGAGTGGCACTGTTGGGAGTGTGGCCTTGTTGGAGTAGGTATGTTACTATGGAGGCAAGCTTTGAGGTCTTAGATGCTCAAGGTACACCCAGTGTGGCACACGATCTCTCCTTCTGCTCCCTGCAGATCCAGAGGTAGGACTCTCAGTTTCTTCTCCAGCACTATGTCTGCCTGCATGCCACCATGCTTCCCCCTCATGATGATGTGGACTAAACCTCTGAAACTGTAAGCCAGCTCCAATTAAATGTTTTCCTTTATAAGAGTTGCTCTGGTTATGGTGTCTCTCCACAGCAATAGAAATCTAACTAAGACAAAAAAGAGGTTTGTTTTCTGCTCACTGATTTAAGACAACACAATTTATCACAGTGCGGAAGTCCTGTCCTGGGGAGCTTAGGTGGCTGGTCACATTGCATCCATCCTTACAAAGCAGAATGTGGACAGGAATCAGGCCAGTCTATAAAACCCCAAGACTGGCTACCAATGACTGACTTCCTCCAGTGTGGCTCCAACTTTAAGCAGTTCCAGAATCTTCCAAGGCACCACCACTACCTGAAGACCATGTGTTCAAGCACAGGAACTTATAGGGACATTTCACATTGGAATGACAGTGTTGTGAAGCATGTTTTAGAAAAACACAAATATCTGAGCTAAGAGAAATCATTTTTTGTGTGTGTATGTGTTAAAGTCTTATCTTTACCAAGTTTATCTTTGTGTGTTCAGTCATTGAAAGAGATGCATTGAATTCTCCAGTGACAGCTTTGCTTTTCACTTTTTTCTTTTTCAAAATTATTTTTAAAATTAATTTTTTAATTAACAAATAATTGTATATGAGTTCTAGCTGCATTTCTGTTACTGTGATAAAAATACTTTGCCAAAAAGCAATATAGGGGGGGGGAGAAAAGGAGTTTGTTTATTTGATTATTTATTTCAGCTTACAGTTCTGAGTTACAGTTCTCAAACAGCTGGTGACATCTCATTCACAGTCAAGGGGCGAGAGAAATGAATTTGTCCATGCACACTGCTTGGCTGTACCAAGCTTTGTTTCTCTGTTTTTATAGTTCAAGACAACTGCCCAGGGAAAGACCCATACAATGGGGTAGACCTTCTCACATCAATTAGCTAAATTAAGACAGACTTCCAAAGCCCAATTCAGTGCAGACAATTCCTTCTTGAGGTTCTTTTCCCCGGTGATTCTAGGTTGTATGAAGTTGGCAGTTAAAGCTGACCATCACAACATGGTTAAGGAAAAGCAAGGTGTGTGTGTGTGTGTGTGTGTGTGTGTGTGTAAAACTGTAGCTGGAGATTTCTCCAGTCCTGCCAGCGCCCGCAGCCACTCAGACCCAAGTAAGCATACAGAGACTTATAGTACTTATAAACCTTATGGCCATGGCAGGCTTCTTGCTATCTAGTTCTTATATCTTAAATGAACCCATTTCCATTAAT